CAAACAGTTGTTGAATACTTTGCAAAAATATCCATGCGAAATATTAATTAAGTGGTAAATAAGATGAAGAAAGAAATATGTGAGAAAAATATTTACACCAATTATATATGTAAATAGAAGTTATCACCTTTTTTCGCAGTCTATATGAAAAGATGTCCTATAATAATTGCTAACGCAGAATTTTATTCATTGCAGTCAACATTACTTATTTGCATTCGTATACATTTAGAGTGCTCAATTTCATATTAAATAACTGCTCACTCTTAAATATCCTGTCTACACAAGAAATACTCATCAAACAGAATAAATTTATCTTATTCACAATGAATATATTAAATTTATTCACATATAACTTTTAATGTTAATAATGGGTATAATCAGATTATGCACAACATGTATTTTGAATGTTACACTTTAAACATCAAAAGAATGCAAGCACTGAAATAATAAAGAAGTAGATTCATTATAATACTTCGAGTCCTTTTCAGCTTAATTAAAAAAACTATACACTTGAATTCGCTTAATGCGCTGGTGTTATTAAATACATAATATTCGAGGCTAATTGTAGCTTGAGTCATTTTCTCGATGTAAAGAGCGATAATACGCCATTAACATAAACCCAAATATTAATGCGTGATAAAAATCGCGAAAGGGAAATGTCAGCGCTTAACTCATAAAACGAAAGCACTACGAGATTTTCTACTATTACGCCATATATTTATAACTGCGAAACAAATGCAAATTAAAACACAAACAACATACGATCACAAGCACGAAGATTTAGCGTCACAAGAGCAATAGAAGCTCATTGTCCATTTTCGAAGCTCCTCCCTCAGTGGCTACGCAGATGTGCACTTGTGAAATATGCTCACCGGGTCTGCGCGCATTCAATCGCTTACGAACCCGTACGTACGACATTTTGCCAAGTCTAAACTAATAATTTACAGCTCAAATCGTTGTTTTAAAGCAGTGACGTCGAACCTTAAACTTGACACGAGCCAAATAAGAAGTAAAAACAAAACTTTGAAAACCACATATATATATAGTTTTAAATATGAAACAAGTCACAACTTAATTTGAAATACTTTGTTTGGCTAAAGTTTTTTAAACTCCGTTCCCTTTCTCCATAGGATGAATTGACAGATAACAGTAGCAAGCATACTAACAAGTGACTGCAAAGGAAACTGTGCCACTCAGGGCGGCCAATTCGCACATTAAGGTGCTACACACGGACTCAGCTACAAAGGATAGTACGCCGCTCAGGGCGGGACGTTTTACGCTGTTGTCAACTATAAACGTTATTTTACACACATGGTCTCAGTTACGAAGGATAGTGGGTGACGACAAGTTTCACCTTTCAGTTCCAATTACGGTAAATTCATTGGGAATTATTCACATACTGAAAACGTCAATAAACACTCGTCAGATACTGCAAACGTCAATAAAACGTTTTTAAATTTGGCATATTTGTTAAATAAATAAATACGTTTGCAATCTGATCAAGATTTATTCTGTTCATTACGATGACACGATGAGTTTCCTCGCGTTTATTTTGAATCTAATAAGTATCCGTTGATTTTGAAATCGGATATTATCAGATAAAATGATATGTGTCAAGTCCCTACGTCTTAGCAAATGCGTAAACAAATTTCGAATTCTTCTAGAGTTGATTGTTTATTGAATCAGCGTAATGAATTGTGTTTATTTCTAATCAGATACTTTCTAGCCATTTTCATTTATTCAAGATAACTGACTATGTAAAAAGGGAAAATTTTCTTTCAAAAAGTGAGTTATTTCACTTGCTAATCAACCATTTCTTCACATCACGAATCAACCTCTGTTCCAGTTTTCAGGAATATATTTGTAGTGTGAAATACTTCAGGGTTAATACAGTTTTTTTAGCAATATTATATTTCTAAAAAGAACTTACTATTACATTCATGCTCGTCAATGTTGTATAAAAATAGCAATAGTCTATACCAGCTAACTTAAAATGTGTTGGTCTTTTTAGTTTATTTATTTCCATGTTAAACAATAAACGTTAAACATAACGTTAAATAAAGCTGACTGTTCAAGTAATAGAGCTCCAACTTCGTCTGTTTAGTATGGCGGTATTTAAGGTGTGTAGGTAATTGAAATACTTCTTAATTCTATCATTAAATGTTATGAGAGTATTTATAAATTTAATATATTCTTAAGCTTAACTAAAAATCTAGAAAACTGGGTTTAAAGAAATAACTAATTTGCATTATGTCATACTGCAATACCTCATCAACAGCAAGGTTCGAAGAAAAGTGAAGGCAGTTGGGTTGTGGGTGTGAAGAAAATGAAATAGAAATGTCTTCATGAATTTTCCAGCACCACTCCTGTGGCCACCGTAGTGGCAGGATTATACACAATTAATTATCGTCGATACATCACTACATTATAAGGTATTTCTCCCACCTTCTTGGCGTGCCTTCGCGGTGTGGTGGTCTGCAAACTGGGCCGGCATTCCAGAGGCCCGTGGTTCGATTCACCGGAGAAGGCGTTGATAATTTTTCATTTTGCCTGCTTATTTCTAGGATTTGGCGATTGGATCCCCTAAAAAAGCCAGTCGCCCTTTTAAAGGGGGAGTGTATAAGGTATTTCTCCCACCTTCTTGGCGTGCCTTCGTGGTGTGGTGGTCTGTACACTGGGCCGATATTCCAGAGGTCCGTGGTTGATTCCCGGAGAAGGCGTTGCTAATTTTTCATCTTGCCTGCTTCAAAAATAATCCTAATGTCTCTACAACAGAATGAATGTTAAATGGAAAATGCAGTATTTCAAACCTTCGGCTTGGTGTCATTTAAAATGCTGAATAGTATCTCACAAAAATTTTGTATCTCGTAAATATATATTTCTCAAGCGATGTGGCATATTCTGATAAATTAAAAGCTTTTTTGGGCAAGTTCGTAATGTTTTATCAGTTTGTAAGGGTTCTTTGGGTACATTTAAGGTCAAATTCTTCTTCGTGCATCTGCAGCTTTAAGTTTTTGAAATTTTTACCATCCAAATACGACTTATTAAGAAATTATGAGATTTGTTTAGTTAAAAAGTTATAAGACTATATCACACAATTTAACAGGTTATTGGAAAGTACATTTATGGCTGCACGCAAAACGTAATCACATTTATTGTGCCATTATATATATTAAAATATTTTAAGGTATTTTCTCGATTGTTCTCGCATACCTTCGTAGTGTTACTGGAAGAAGGCTTGAAGAGTATTAGAGAGGCCGAAGTTCGAATCCCGTCGAGGAAATTGAGGATTTCTTCCATTTCCTGATTCGAAAAATTCCAAGAAATTCTAGAAGTGGCACCCGAACTAAAAAGTAGCGAACGATAATTCCTTACCATCACGATTTGGCGAATAGGCTCCACAGTAGCCCTTCAAAAGGGGAGTCTGAAAGGTATTTTCTCCTTTCTTTCTGCATACCTTCCTGGTGTAAATGGAAGCACGTTCGATGCGTATTCTAGAGTTCGGGTATTTGAATCCTGGGGATGACACGACACATTTTTCAGGTTCCTACAACGATATAACCTAATCTCTCTACAGCATACATAAATATTTCATAAATTTATGGAAGTAGGTAGGCATTTAGTGGAACGTAACATATTTCCTGAATGATTGCAAAATGTGCAGTTTTATTGCTATATGCGCTGATTTCATTTTTTAATAGATATATACACTAAATGTTCACAACACTACAACTCGTTACACACGCAGATTGCATATCTTAATATTGATATACACTGACTACCAATAAGTATTTGGACACCTATGCAAATGACTATATCTGTGGTCCTAAGGTATGTTACGGACTCCGCCGGTATATATCGTGTAGGAAACAGCATCGGCTTTAGTTGCATGCAAGATGCCTCGCAGTTCGGAGCTCTCTGATTTCGAGAAAGGTATAATTATCAGGTATCACAAATGTGGCCGATCCTTAAGGGACATATCTAGCCATCTGAAGTATCCAAAATCGACAGTGGCCTATGTGATTAAGAAGTGGAAGGTGAGCGGTGATTGTCGGAATGTGCCCAGAGTCGGCAGACCAACGAAACTGGGAGATAGAGACCGACGAGGGCTGTCCAGAGAAATTCGGAAGAACCGCACCCAACCGATGGCCCTCATCCGCGAGGAGTTTCAACAGGTTAATGTGGTGCAAAGCACATCGAAATTGGACCGTAGATCAGTGGAAACGGGTTCTTTGGAGTGACGAATCAAGGTCCTTTACCGTTCGGATGGCAGGGTCTGGGTCTGGCGTCTACCTGGAGAACGTCTCCTGCCAGAATTGTGCCAACAGTCAAGTTCGGCGGAGGTGCAATTATGGTCTGGGGGTGTTTCTCCTGGTATGGGCTGGGACCCTTGGTCCCCATTCATGGTAACCTCAACTCCGATGCCTACTGCACTATTTTGGATGACAATGTGCTTCCTACGTTGTGGCAGTTTTACGGGTTGGACCCCTGTTACTTTGAGGACGACAACGCCAGTTGTCATGTTTCGACGTTAACCAAGGCTTGGTATGGTGCCAATGGAGTTCATTGAATGGACTGGCCTGCCCAGAGTCAGACCTGAACCCTTTCGAGAACCTCTGGGACGAGTTGCATCGCCGAATTCAGGGGTGCACTACCCGTGCAAAATCGGTGAAGGAACTTCTATGTCTTCTCCAAGCCGAGTGGAAGAAAATACCAATAGCTGCTATACAAAGACTTGTGGAAAGTATGCCCCGGAGGGTCCACGCTGTAATTAAAATACCTTTCAAACGGTGCAGTGTGAGAAAATACCTTTCAGCCTCTCGTGGAGGCTCTACCAACTATTGATTTTGAATAAAGTTAGGTTTTCTTTTCTATCACAGGTGTCCAAATACTTATTGGTAGTCAGTGTATAAATTAAATGTTTACGACACAATCTTAATTAAACTATTATAATATAAATAAGCACTTTCAAAGAAAGAAAGATGAGTTAAGAAACGAAATAATAATTTATTTTCTATTTATTTAAAAAAGTGTCGGATTTACAATAGGACATCAACATTATTCTTAAGAACATAGTCATTTGAGCCATTGTCATACAACTTCTGCTTATATCTGAGATATAATTATATATTTCCAAACAGAATCTATCTTTCCAAACATGTCCCTGAAATAAAAGTAAAAAAAAATCCCTTATGTAATGTCCCTCTCCGATTGTCATACTCATCATAATTCACTGTTTGGAATGATAAACAAATATCTTTATTTACAGAAACTTCATTTCCCAAACACTGAATATATATATATATACTCATAATTTACATATGTTTACTTTGCTCACTTGTATTTGAATCACAAGAGAAACTCCTGAATAATTAGTGGTTTTGTAAACTGTAATTTCACACACTAGAATCACAGGATTTGCATAAGATACACATATTTTTACAAAAAATTATTTCTGCATTACAAGAGCAAAAATAAAATAATTTAAATAAAAAATGATCGCACGTGATCTAAAGTCGTATAAAAATTCAAGTGCTCGTAAATTCATGTGCTTGTAAGACAAAATGAAAAGCTGAACACAAAGAATCACCACACTAGATATCGAAAAACTTCGGTTATTTTTTACAAAATTGACGTTACATAAGTAAACACAGAGAGTTCAGAGAGTCGAGATCGAAATTCAACTAAACGAGAACCAGGATAGTCTGCACCGGTAAAATCATCATCCTTGATGATGGTATTGAAACCACAAGGTAACTTTGAGTATTTTGTGCAACACCAATGCTTTTATTTCTAATAAAATATTCTCAGTCCTTTTAGTAACTTTGGAGTTCCATAAATGTTCAACTGCATGGAGTCCTGCACATTTAAAATTCAATACAACTCTTCAAAAAGTCAACCATTCTATGCTTTTTACATACGCCTGGGGAAAGGGCATATATATCTAGAAATCTGATGTTTCTATGAATTTCTGCACGTCATGGTGGCTCAAGTTGACGAAATTGGTCTAAACGTCGTTACACCTGAAGATGAGTTGAAGGAAATAATTTCTAATGCTGCTTCTCTGCCTCTACTAGAGGCTACAATAGGTGCTTAAAACCAGTTCTTGACCATTCAGTTGTAAAGCCTGTAACACAAAAACGCGGGACTGATATTTGTAATATCGAAATGATACTTCAATCTTAAAACTCATAGAGATATGCATCAAAGATGATGATCAAAAGCTCTTTTACCACACTGCATCGTAAAGCTCCTCATTTGTAAAAGAGAAATTCGAATTTCCTTTCTGTTGATGATATACATCGGATGCTGGAATGCAGTTAACGGGGCTTCAAAATCATGTTGCTTGAAGAACAGCCCACAGAAAACCCTGCACTCAGATGGGCCCCAAAGAGCTGCGGTAAAATCCTAAATACGGCACTTCTGTAAAAAGATGGCCACAAGCTTCATATAGTTGTCATTTCCACAAACGACTGCTTAGGCAATATTAAGCTTCAGACGGCACTCTCCCGCTTATTTTTCATAAGTGGTGTATCGCAAGACGTGCAGCTGATTTCTTCATCTTCCTCCCCGCATTTCTGGGGGTGCATGTGGCGTTGCAAGTCCAGCTTGGCGTATTCTGTGGGAGGTTCTTTTCTCCGAACTGTCATCGTGGCGGCAGTCTGTTGGTCCAACGGTAATGCCAGTTCCGCGTAAGTTATATCTTCTTGCTGGAAAAAAAAAAAAAAAAAAAAAAAAAAAAAAAAAAAAAAAACATAGATTAATTTACAACTATGTCAGAAGATAGAAAATGCCTTATACCGTTTCGGTGCTCTTAGTTACAATATTCTTAGTTAAGCAGAATAATAATAGTAGCAAAAATATTATTAATAATAGTAAATGTAATAAGCCGTTTAAATTAGATTTTGACGAACTTTATTTAACAAAAGGAAAACATCTATTCTGACATATTTTGAAAATATTAAATAAATTTCAAAAGAAATGTAATCATTTCAACTAAGTATTTTTCCATAATTCAATATTTTTTTGTATTAGAATATTATTTTGAATTCACCAGTTATTTTTTCTGCATGTAATAACCACGACCACACGTACCGATATTTTACACTCCATTTTATAGAAGAGCTGCGTATACTGACGGCCTACCTTATATTTCTAATGTCACGCACAGAATAGGACCAATGTTCCCAACAGCAGCCGAGCGGCAAGAGCCTCTGGACACTAATAGTTCGAGTCCTAGCGATTGCATGCTTGTTACTGTGTTTTTTCCTATGTGTAAGTGAATACTGGCCAGTTTCCCTCAAAACGACTTCAACGGCCCATTTCTCATCTTCCGTGTACTAACTAATTGAGGAGCGCATAATAAATTAAAAAATCGGTCAATATATTCAAGATGAAAATTGTTTAATTTCTTCGCATTAATCATTTAAGTTGTCAGGTACGTTTAAATCATTCAAAAAGTTGAAATTTTATGTATTACAACGCGATTCCTTACAATCATTTTGAAACAAACACCATCTGAAACTTTTCTCTAGAAACAAATTTACAATAAAAGTAATTCTAAGATTTTGCTTTTTAAAGCCCCAGTTCTTTAAGGGTTTATATACATTTGCATTACAGCAAATTACTCCCATTAAATGGGCTGAATTATACATAAAATTCTTCTGTATATTGTTACGAATATTAAAAAAGTTACCTTACCTATATATTTATTCACATGTTTACAAATTTTAAGAAAGTAATATGCTTACAAAATTCTCGACGTAATTTCAAGAATATTTTTATTTGTCCACTAGAATTTCATAAGCTATTTCTCTGTTTGAGTTCGTAAATTCTCAGAACTGCCTGATTAGAATTTTGGGAAAGTTTGTTTAATTGTGCTTCGGATATAAATACCTTTAGAACTACAATGGTGTCCAAAAATTAAGGAAAACTCACAAAAATATCAGTAACTCTTCAAAAATAAGCCAATACGCATAAAATTTGAATGTGTTGTCATATAATAATTCCTGAGTAAAACTGCAGTATGCAAATTTGCATGTTTCAGAGGAAGCCTGCAAATTACGCTGTGATACTGAGATAAGAATTCTGGAATAGCCAATTTGTAAAAATGACTTATAGGCATCCTTTGCCCAAAGAACTGTGATGAAGAGCCAATGGGAGACTAGAGGAAGGACATAGTCACATGAAATAGCCGAATGGCTAAATGTGAGTCCTCCTGTCGTTCATAGACTCTAGCAACAATTTCTAATTACAGATTCGGCATCCATGACGTTCAGACAAGGACGGCCAACAGCTACGAGGAGCACTGATGAGCAATATTTATTGTTATGCGAAAGAAGGTACAGGACCTCAGCTCTGACTTCCACTCAGATTCTCCCTTGCTGCAGCCCTTGAAGGTTGGTGTCAACTCAACCCTGCGTAGAAGGCTTCACAAACGATGTCTGTAAGCGAAGCGACCAGTCATTTGCGTGCCGCTCACGTCACGTCATAGAAGCGAACGTTTGAGATGGGCACGTCAACACCTCCACTGGACAGCTGATCAATGGACGGTTGTGGTACATCTTTGGTTGAACGCACCATGTCGTTCCACATAGAACCGTGAATACTCAGGCCTATAGAGATGGCATCTTTGGTGCTTATGTGCTGTCTTACGCCGGAACAAAAGGAAATGATTTCCTATTACAGGACGACAGCTTCGAACGGCGCAGTGCTCACATCGTGGAAGATTATTTCAGCAGCAAACAATTCAGCGCGTGGAGTGGCCAGGTAAATCACCAGATCATTTCTATAGGGCATGTTCGGGTTGCTTTAAGAAGACGTATAGCTGCTCTCAATCATCATTTTTAGACCCTAGGCACACTTATAACTGCTTTGCAAAATTGATGGCTCTAACTTCCTAAGGAGCTGATAGACATTATAACTGATAGCAGCAACCTTCGCTGCGTGTGCTGTATTGCTTTTAGGGGAAATCATACTTTATATTAAACGTACGTTCCCTATACCAACTGACTAATCCGATATTTTCATTTCAAACATATACTAATTTCTATAACACCATAATTGTCTGGTAATTTCTTATCCTGTTATTTTATACCTATTATGCTTGCATACTGTGGGTAACTTTCACACAATTCTACATTTAAATTTTTGAGTAATCGTTATTTTTCTGATTTTTTCTTAACTAATGATAAAAAGTATATAATTCAAATATGGAATTGTATGAAGTTTCGACTCCTCAGTTTCCACTATTCTAATTAAAATTGTGTTGATTATGCATGTAACGCTGTTTTACTGTATAATTATGTGTTAAACGTTTTTACTTTGAAATATATTTATTAATATTAAGAAAATGTCGCCCAGACGGTATAGTGGTTAGGGAAGGTAAACCGCTGAGTTGGCTTCCGACCCGGGTATAGATATATCCATGCAGAATTGGTTACCAACTCGGCGGGAGTCAACCACTAGCTACCAGGCCGCAGCCCTGGGCAGCCCCGGCTAAGCAGATGGCATTTATAAAATGCAAAAAAAGAGATATACATGTGCATAAAAGGCACTTGAAGAAGAGTACAGCAATGTGCAAAGAAATATATACATGTGCATACAATATATACATGCGCATCTCGGCCTTTTGGCAAAGATCAAAGTGTAGTGGTCAGGGAAGCCTAGTACGGTACCGAAGGGCCCGGTTTCGAATCCCGAAGAAGGCTTGGATTCTTGTAAATGTGTAGTGTCGGTGCGGCATGGCGGCATTTAATATGCGCAGTGCCGAAAGTCTTCTCATGTGGATAGGTGGGAGTGGAGAGGGGTGAGAGACCCCTCTCCATTGGATCTCCCCCGGGACTCCCACTGGATCTTCCCCCGGGGTACTCTCCAACAAAATGTGGGGTGGGAAACCTATCTTCGGATTAGGTTCTGAGAACCATTGTTTCATATAACATGGACACGACAACAATATTAAGAAAATAATCTGGATTTACACGGTTTTCAAGTAATTATGTGGATTTACACGGTTTTCAAGTAATTATGTCTTTATGTTGAGGTTTCTCAAAACTATATATATATATAATATATAGTTTTGAGTTATGTATAATATATAGTTATATAGTTATATAGTTTTGTTATATATATAATAGTATATATAATATAACTCAAACTATATATTTATATATATAAGTTTTGAGAAACCTCAACAAAAGACATAATTACTTGAAAACCGTGTAAATCCAGATTATTTTCTTAATATTGTTGTCGTGTCCATGTTATATGAAACAACAATACGATATATATATATATATATATATATGAGGAATAATACGATATATATATATATATATATCGTATGTTCCTCCGAAACAATTGGAAAAACGTTCAGGAAATATGGACCAGTCTCACAGAATTCTCCAAATCTTTAGTTGTCATTTTATGCTCACATTGAGTTCATAACCGTACGTGAGCTTAAAAGAATAAGATTCTCAGTTAAAATTTAAAAAAAAAATAACTTTATGTTAAAAAGTAAATAAATCTAGGTGTCTCAAAAATGAATAATAATATTTTTAAGAAAATTTGATTCAGTTAATTTTTAAAATACACTATTTTATTTATACACTATTTTCCTGATTTGGGAAAAAGACCAGCTACAACAATTTATTGGTATATCCATTATACTTTCCGCGCTAGCTTTATCTCGATGAAGGAAAAGTTACGTATTTTATTTTATTTAAAGTAAAGAGTATCAAGAATAGTTTAAAATGGGTTATAATTTGTCGTATTTTTACATATTAAAAGTATCTGGCTTTTTAATTTACTAAAGTTGAAATATAGTGAAATTAATATATTCAACTTCATCTGATAATATTCTAAATCTTCTAATCCGCATTTCAATGAAACAATGCTTAATGGGATAGCCAAAAATATTTATTTCACTAACATAATTTTACTTTATCTATAAAATTTTCTCTGCCTTACATCCTTAAATAAATAGGTAAATCATAAAAAGAAATTAGGAGAACTGAAACAATATGATCTGAGCTTTCTATTATTAATGTATTTTAAACTGCAAGAATAAATTTCTTTAAGCCATAAACAGCAATTTAAGTATTAGCAATGTCGCAGTTAATACGGTTTTCTATAGTTTTCTGAAAATTTAACTTTACTTAATAGAAAAATAACAAAGGATAATTATTAATTAAAATTCGTATTTGATTTTTCATGAATAATTGCTTGAAATTCTAAGATTTCTTCTATTTATTCCGCTATTCATTCCGTCTTACTTTTAGACGCAGAGTGAAGCTCTGTAGTCTAGACAGTAAATCTGAAGTTTCATATAAATATCGCATAATCATATAATATATATAATATAGTTCCTACAATAATACTTTGAATTTCAGTTTTCTTTAGAAATTTCTGTTTAGGATTTTTGGATTAAATACGTATACCGAAAGCAGGAAATATTTAAAATGTAAAAAAATATACATTTAAGAAAATAAAGAAGAAAGCTGCAAAATGTTCATTTACGTTTTTACGTTTAACTTATTTTTCGCATTGAAGTTTTGATCAATAGGAAATCTTTTTCATCTTTTCAATTTACGAGTTTCTTATTTTATGCGTCTTTATTGAATGCATTTACATTTTAAAATTATCCACATTAAGAAGTATGGCTAGATGCTGTAGAGTATGGCAGAATTAGAGCTGCATTTTTGCGCTAAGTTTCACAGTATTGATTCGGTATAAAATTGTTTTTTTTTATAATAAATTTCGCTTCAGAATTAGATACTTGCAGATGCTTACGTATTAATTTGAATGCTATACCTGTATTTTAAACTTAAGCTGTTTTTTGTTAATATGTCAAAAAATAATATTATAATTATGTCTGCATTCATACATTCTGTAACTACTTATTTACAAAAAAAAAAAAAAAATTTTTTTTTTTTTCATGAGCGAAAAAAAAATTAAATTTAAAATGTTTTCTTTCATTCGAGAAATAAATATGTCTATTTGATGACTTTTCTACACTTTCCTTTTTCTCGAGAAAGATATTAAAATTACCCGTTATATGTACAGATATTATAAATGATTCACCAAACTTTAGTACGATTTCGTAGATTTTTAAAAGTAAATTATTTGAATAATTCAATAAATAAAAATATCAAATTTTAGGCTTAGCGCTGTAAATTTTCAAAGTGGGTTCATCCTATTTTATATTAGAGCATATGCCCAAGAGGATCGTTATTCATTCTACTCCTGCTGTAACATTTCCTAATTTATAGTCTGTAAAGAAGCTGTAATGCGATCCTCCAAAGTTTCCGGTGTCGGAGGAACATAAACGTGGTCCTTAACGGAACCTCAAACGAAAAACAAATCTTCGGGATGGGAACTCTTGGTGATCATCTATGAAAATTGATAATTCATCATTCCCTTATTGACCAGATCAACGATGTAAGAGCTCATCATTCAAATAACTACGTACTTTAGTGCGTCATTAAGATGGACGTCCCTAGACTAGAATAGGAAATTTTCAGAATCATCTTTCATTTAAGAAAATAATACCAACACCAACTGTAAAATCATCAGGATAAACACATCACACTGTTATCGACGGTAAAAAGGAGATCCATACACCATTCCCTTTGGAATACCATAAAAATCTCTTAGTTTTGTAAATTCTCTTTCTGTTCAACGACATTATGAATATGTTATATGCCCCATATCCAGAAAGGGTAAAGTTTTACCATTGCGAGCAAATGAAATGTCGCTTTGTCATTGAATATTTGACGGGAGGTAAAATCATGGTTTCTCGTATACCTCAACTAAATTTGTGTCATTGATAACATCATCTGGCTCTAAATTTTGCAATATCTGTAAATGATAAGGTTTCAGTTCACGTTTCATCTCACAAATATTTGACTGCGAAATACGAACTTCGTGGCAAAACGATTTCTTAATTTTTACGGTATGCGCGGAACTGTCTCCATTTGACCATTTGAAAACCTTGGTCGTCCAGAGTTTTTCACTTTGCATAAACAATCTATGCGTCTGAACTGCCAATACTATCGAGGAATGTTTCAACGACTTGGTGGACCTTCATCGTACTGTCTTCGAAATGCATGTTGTAGAAAAACAATCGATAAATACGTTGCATATTTTAAACTTCAGATTCGTTTCCGCTGTAAACTCGCGTTTTGAATGGAAGGTATAGCTTCTACGCGTTGCGCCATAGGACATTTGTACGTGTGAAATAAAATATGTAACAAATTTTCTTTCGTTACGTCAGTTTCCAGTTAAATTATTACCCATATATCAGAAGATATAGGACTTCAAAATGCGATAAAACGTGTGACATAACCCTGTATATCCATATATATTTAAACATAAATAACAATTATACAAAAAAAAAATTATTACTGTAGAAATAAAAAAATGGGTATTCCATTCAACAAAAATTTTGTTGGATGCAACAATGAACCAGCAGCTTTCTTTTAGCATATATGAAAACTTCGCATCAATTTTTCTGCATTTTAATATATTTTTTTCTAATTATTATCAGGTATTTCCTATGTATTAGTATTTTAAATAGCTTACATGTTTCTATTATTCAAGTTCATATGTTAGGAGCATCAATTTCAACTATTTGATTATTAATTATGCACCTCTGTTAAAACGCAGAGAAGCAATAGAGTTTGGTGTCACACTTAAGAAAATAATGGCTTTGCGTATCCCGAATGAATAAGGCATAAAATCAGGAAATTAAATTATTTAAACTATTAAGTAATTAATTTTGCCATTATAAGAATATTTTTAAGAATACGCAAAGAATTTTTTAACTATTTTATTAATTAACACTTTATAAAATTTATCAACATTAATCTTAAATTACGTTGAAACCAGAAAACAGAGAATTTGATACTATCTTAAATGCTAAATCTTTGTTAAAATAAAAGGTGTAATTTCTAGGTAGATAAATCAATCAATTAAATTACGAAAACTTTAAAGAAACCAAATGCTATACTAATGCAATTTTCTTTTAACAGTAGCTCTACTTTTAAACGTTAATTGTTGGAAGTATAAGTATAACAATTTATCAAACAATTAACGTATTAACTTATTAGACCTCTTCCTCTGTCTTATTTGCTATGTGGTTGAAAAGTAACAATTACCATTCTTTTGAAAGAAATAGTGAGAATTCATCAACAAAGAATGAGATGCTTGAAAATAAAAAGCAGGTTTACTGCTTAGGCTGCTAGCTATGACATGCAAAAAGTTTTAGTTACTGATATTTTTTACGATATTGATGAATGGTTGATTAAAATAGCAGGTGTTACCATCCAAATGAGGTGCTACTTTGGTAGACGGTTACACGGATTTTTGGCGATTTACTTTGGCGCAATTGTTAGCGCGGTTTTAACAATCGTCTGCCACCTTGAAAAACGCTGTTCTACGTATTTTGCCCATGTAAAGTATTCGAAACTTAAAAAAAAAAAAAAAAAAAAAAAAAAAATTAGAATATATATATATATTATTTTAAAATATGATTAATTTTTGTTGAAGACGTGTTTTTTAAGATGCTGCAATTAATAATACATTTACTACTAGATAAAACTAAAGAAGGTTAAATTAATTACTCTCATATACATGAAATAGGAGAAAACACCTCTACAAAACAGTGCGCAAACGTTTAAAAGATAAATATTACTAAATCAATACTTCAAAATAGTAAATCGACGCTTCGTACACTAGAGCTAATGATAGCAATTAGAAGTTTACTGCCGTAAAGAGGAAAATATCTTACTTTTACCTTACAAATACAAAGCGGTTATTTCTTCCACGTGTGCCACATACCATAATACGGGCGTCCCAATTGGCTTTTTTAACAATCTTCATCTGTAATCCACATTTATCCTACTTCACTGAAGAGCATTATCGTGGTTTTCTCCAAAATTTAAATAAATTTCCTCTCCTTGTAGCAATTTATAATAAATCTTGATTAGGAAACAGGTTGACCAATAAGGTCTCAAAACATTTTTTTTTCGATCCAATAATCTTGGTACTTACAATAACAACATTAATTATTGAGGGACTATCCTTTCCCTATGAAATGTAAGGAATTCGAAGATGAAAATAAAATTTTAAGATGGCACGGTAATGCAAATATTCAGTAACCAGTAGGGAGCTGATTACGTCACGCATAGAATTATATTATTTAAATAATCATACATAATAACTCAGTTTAAAAAAATGCAAAATAATGTATTTATATTTACGTCATAAATAAGTTTAAACATTAGATTAAATTTATAGATATTAAAACCAATTACTTTAGTAATGTGACGTCATTCATTACATCATCCAAAAACATAAAATTACATAAAATGTCATAAACAATTAAAATTTTATTTCAAATAAAATGCAAAATTAAATTGATTTTTAATATTTAGAAGCCATAAATAATATTTAAAACACGGAATTTATGCATAATAAAAAGCATTATTTTTTAAATAAAATGACAACAAAGTATCGGTCACCATAACTAACTTGTATAGCAATTTTTTTTTTTTTTTTTTTTTTCCTCGTGTGATACGACTTATGTACTTATGACTTGTGTAAATAAGTCGCTCGAAAAAAAAAAATCCGTGCAACCATCTACCAAAGTAGCACCACAGATGATACTCCATATGTCTTCTTTCAATTATAACTATGATAGAAAAGTTCTCTTAAATATTTAACAGTCCTAAATAGTAACATGTACGGTAAGTCCTTTTATGATCCTAAATTATTTTTTTTTTTAAGTGTACATCACTGTTTAAATTTTAGTCGCTGCTTTAACTTAGGGTAAAATTCATGATTTCGTTTTCAGATGCTTTTAAACTTTCCGGTGACAGACAACGAAATCTTACAATCAAATATTCTTAATATAATTATAAATAAATATCTTACAAATGAAGATGAGTTATATTTAATATTAAAACTTAAATTAATTATAAATAAATTTTGGAACTTGAATAAGCATTAAAAAAACTCAATATAATAATAAATGTCTACTACTCTTATTTATAACTGATCAAAAAACAAATTTTGTATTTAAAGGAAAGTAATTAGCAAAAGAGCCTGACCATATATATTGATTTTATCTAAACGATAACTGCATTTATTTTAATGGCTAAATTTGCCATTTATTGTCGTCAGAAAAATGTAATGAGTTAAATAAAAAATTCAGCTATTATATATTATTAAAATAATATCGTTATTAAATTACTACTTCATATGCAAGCATTCGGACATTAAGATTTTCCTTTCTATTTAAAATAAAGTCGTTCGTTACATGCGGTTTCAATAATGTATAGGAATTTGTACAGAAACTTTAATGCATACAAGTACTTATTGTAATTATTTAATACAAATACTGATCATAATCACATTCCAGAAATATAAAAAATAAATTCTCTTCATGCAAACAAAAGGTGGTAAATTTTATTCATACCCTTCGGTACGGATCACACTGATTGTTCCTTGGAGGAGTCACCCAATGTCCTGACGTTTTGGCTGGAGAAGACTGTTCTTTTGGATCTTCTGCAGAATACAATATTCCCATGTTTTTATTTTTCATTTACACTTGTTTAAATTTTTGAAATCTAAGGATTTATAATATGCAACATCGTAACAGAATTCTATTAAGTGGCTTCAAACTTAAATGAGTTTAATTCAAAAATGAAATCTTTGTAGAAAGCCCTAAAATTATTATTTGTATTTTATTTGATTGATATGATTTAATTTTTTTTTATTTGATTTAAGCAAAGATTCTTTTTGCATTTTCTTTTACACAGATTTTTAACATAAAATAGGGATTTCAGGTATCAGATATAATCATAAATGTTAATTTAGATACAGCCATACGTATTACTCTGTCTTTCGATGTGATTATTTGCTATGATATGCGGAGATGAATCGTTTAAAAAATAAAAGTAAAGAAATGCTTTTGCTAAATACACAAGAAGGAAAATCATCTTGCGAAAAAAATTGCAAGTAAATATGTATCTTAAAAGATAATGATTTTCAGGTGCTCAGCACGTAGGTATAATTTATTCAAATACGCTTTGACACCTTTCCTAAACATACCTGATTTTATACGAAACTCCGTATATCAAATTTCATATAATAATAACCATTCATATCAAAATTAACTAGTTTGTGCGTTTTTGGAAAGAGAAGGACGATGACCGCGTGTTTAATCTAAATTCCATATTTATATTAAGCACTCTCATCAGTGTATTCGATTATTTTTTATCTAATTATGGTAAAAAGTTTTGATTTATATTACGTAGAAATTTCAACAAATACAATACACCACTTAGCTTCAGTTGTCTGTATCGGCAATACTTGTATAGCGATCAAATTAGGGTTATTTGTGTTAATCATAGCTTCAAAATTAGTAACAATTTCTCATCATGAGATTGAAATAATGGAAGAATTATTAACCCTTAGAAAACTGAAACATTCGCTAACCTACATGCTTAAAATGCTGAAACGCCCGTCCCCGTCCATTAGCCATCCCATCCGTTTCCTCACCTTCTCCGCCCATTAATGCATAAAAAGGTGTGAATATTTCAAATGACATCAGTTCTACGTCCTAACAAAGAAGCTTCCATTACCTTTTGGGAGCTTTGGAGATTAACTTAAGGCTTCGGAATACAATAGGGAAAGGGAAGAAAACAGCTTCGCAATCTTGCCCATTTCGGGCGTTTCTGGTCATTTGAATGGCCAACTGGGGCATTTTGACCTTCAAAGGGTTAAGATAACATTTTAATTCGGAGGTCAGGAATTTCTTTAAGAAAAGAAGACGGTGAAAGATCCTAATCTCTATTTAAGTTTCTGTAGTACATCATAAATTATAACGTTTCTACTAAAAGAGAATTGTAGAAATTTATTTCTTCGCCTTTAAACATAATCATTTTAAACTTAACAAATAAACGATAGCCTTAAAATCCTAAACGAATAGTCTACATTTCCTATTGCACGGCATAATCTATCGTTTATAATCGCTTTGTTTTCATACTAAACTAATATATTAGAACAAACTTTCAAAATGATATGCGGTTTAAATATCACTAAATCTGATGAAAAACATTACGTTGCAGTTTGAGAATAACACTCTAAAGAAAGCAACAAAATTCACATATAATCCGAAAATTTCGCTTTAACATGATATCTTTGCAAATTTTTAAAGTCATCTTTTTATAAATGTTAAAGAACTCTTGTATATTTAATAAAAATATTAATATTGCCTTGTTTATAATTCAGTTTGTATTCAAAGTGCAAATTAAATATTTCATCCAGCAAGTGGTGAATTAAATATATCGACAGTGTTTCCGGCCTTGCCTGTTGTGCCGAAAGACTTAATTCATTTGCCGTAAAATAAGCAATACAAGAATTTATATTTTAGAAATAAAAATAATAAAAAGAAATCTGAAATGTTTCAGATTTTAAATTACGTCCAAAGGGACGTTTTTTAACATTTTGTGTGTTACCTTCTTTATTAAATATCATGTTTCCTCGCACTTAAACCATAAGATCCAGTGCAACAGCAATATCGCAAAAAGTTTTAAACGAGCATATCTTTAGAATTTCGATACAGAGATTTTTGCGCTGGAGATAAAAATGTTTTTTCTGCACAACGTTGCCATTGTCGCTTTGAAATCCTTGAGTTTTGTTAATCAAAAATTCGTCAATTTTTAAAAAATAGGAAATCGATCATAAAACAAATTTCGAATTCAAATTGGTCTTTCCACATGCTCATATTCGTTGGAGGATACGTATTCAAAATTCGATGACTCTATGTACCGTTGTTTTATCACAATGCGAGAAATATACATACATTTATGCAGATTTTTCATTATTTAATTTCTTCAAATATAATGCAGGACTCTAACATTTTGTGGCAACAGTTTGAAAAGTGAACCGACATTTATGAGTCCGACGCAAAATGCCAAAACGAAACTAACAGTCCTTCGGGATTCAAATCCCTTTGGACTAAAAATACGTTACTGCTTTAAGTTCGAATTACTTTCGCAACAACTGGATACTTCAATCATAAATTTAATTTCTAAATTTTCCCCCTGATTAATTAAAAACCAATAGTATTTTGGAGGTTGTATCTGTTGATGGCCAATATGTGTCTGCCTCATAAAAGGTCATGTCTTGTCATTAAATAAAGGTTACGTGTCGGAATTTCATTGATACCATAGGTATAATTTCAGTTTTTATGAATAAAGAAAATTTCTATTACAACATCCAGTTTCTTGGAATTGCTCTTTCCAACGCTTCCTTTTCTGTAATTTCGTTAAATCCTTTTCAGTGGTAACTACAAAAGTACAGTGTCTCACAAAAGGTGATGGGATACTTGTGCTTTACAAAAAGAAACTGTAATAAAATAAATTTAAAAACATGTAAAAATTTTTTGTGGGTGTGTTTCATACTTAAATTTAGTAACAATTATTACATAACATACATTTTCTCAAAATATTAAAAGAATAATTTAATAAAATACTATTGTTTAGAACGGAGCAAAAAATGGCTCACATAATAGATGTGACACCTTTATATACTACTACGTACTACAATAAAATTTTTTTTGGGGGGGGTTATTTTTACTCAAAAGCAATTAGCAATAATTTATAAAATCGTCTGCAGTCTTTTTCTGCAGTTTTTTTTTGGAATTTTTGTGTTTTTTAGCTCTGTGCCAGCCAGAATGCTAAACGAAAAGAAACTTTTGCCTAAAATTCGAAAATTAGTTTATTATTTGCATATTGAACGAAAATCTCAGAGAAACTACTGAAATAGTTAACTTCAGTCATTCAACAGTTTTCAATATCATTAAACGATATAAAAAGAATCATATGATTCAGGATAACAGAAGACCTCGCCGACCATCAAAGCTATCCAAAGGAATAAAGCGAATTATCGTTGGAAATATTTTAAAAAAAAACTCCAAGAATGAGTGCTCCTATAGTTGCTGTCTGATTTACAAGCATTATATGGAGTAATTGTTAATCCTGAGACTATTATAAGAGTAATTAGATATGCTGGATATCACGGTAGAGCAGCCAGGAAAAAATTCTTCTTGAGTGAAAAGAATAGACAACTCAGACTGGCTTTCGCAAAATCCAACATAAATAAGATTCTCATTACTGGAATGAAGTTATATTTGCTGATGAGAGTAAATTTAATAATATTTGGTTTTGACGGTAGAATCTTGGTGTAAACCCAGGAAAACCCAGAAAAGAGTTTCGCAAACAGAACTTGGTGCCAACAGTAAAAGATGGTGGTGGAGGAGTTATGGTATGGGGGTGTATGTCGTCCGCTGGAGTTGGTCTTAATCTTTATTGACAGTTTTTATTGACATTTATTTATGATTTAATGATTTATTTGATTTTATTGACAGTCTAATGAATCAGGACAAGTATATTGACATTTTAAATCAAAATTTTGAAATCTTCAGCACGAAAAGTTTGAACCCTTCATAACGATTTTAAATTCTACCAGGACAATGACCCCAAGCACACTGCTTTGAACGTTAGACTCTGGCTGCTGTATAACTGTCCTGGAAATAATAAAAACACCACCACAATCTCCAGACTTAAATCACATAGAAGAATATTTGGCAAAAATTGGAATCAAGAATTCGCAAACACACACCATTCTCTTCAAACAACAATTAAAATCATTGCTTCAAGAAGAATGGGTAAAATCACTCCAGAAATCACAAAAAATTAGTCGAATCCATCCCAAGAAGATTAATTCACGTTTAAAAGTAAAAGGAAATCCAACAAAATATTGAAACATTTTAAAGAAGTAAAATTTTTGGATAAATTTTGATGAAAAGTAAGTGTCCCATCACTTATGTGAGCCATTTTTGCTCCGTTCTAAACAATTGTATTTTTATTACATTACTGTTTTAATATTTTGAGAAAATGTATGTTGTGTAATAATTGTTACTAAATTTAAGTATGAAACACACCCACAAAAATTTTTACATGTTTTTTAATTTATTTTACTACAATTTCCTTTCGTAAAGCACAAGTGTCCCATCACTTTTGTGAGACACTGTATGTAAGTAACTATCTCCCTCTTTTCAGCATACCTTCGTGGTGCAATGGTTAGCACACTCGGCGCTTATTCTAGAGGTACTGGTTCGAGTCCCAGCGAGAGTACTGTTCATTTTTTAGGTTTCCTGCTTTAAAATAACCTAATGTCTTTGTAGCGGCGCCCGAACTAAAAAGGTGTTGAATGATGATTCATCACCATCAGGATTTAGCGACTGTGTCCTCTAAGACCCAGTCGTTCTTTAAAAGGGTAAGGTGTTTTCCCCTCCTCTCAGCACGCCTTAGTGTTGTAACGGTTAGCACACTCGGCGAGTATTAGAGAAGTCCAGGTTAGATTTCCGGCGAGGGCATTGTAATTTTTTATGTCTAATTTAAACTAACCTAATATCTCTAAAAGTGCCCATAATATAACCTAGACACTAAATTTTAACTATCTGAAAAACATCATAACCGTTGCAGTGGAGTGAATTTTATGAAAGACATGCACTTTCCAGAAATTTATATATAGCTTTAATATTTGTTGAAGTGAGTATAAACTAAGGTATTTAGTCTAATAATTTTTAATTAGCTGCTTTCTAACCAGTTACAGATTCTTTATACAGTATTAAATTGCAGTTAAATCATTATTTTCTTTGCTGTCGATGATCTATTGTTTCTTTCACCTACGTATTTGAGATAGAAAAAAGTAATAGATCTAGTGGACTAAGTTATCTAGCCATCTGTATAATTATTTTTCTGACCGAAGAAAAATGTATGAGATAAATACTGCCCTATTTAATTCCGAATATCTCTTGAATAATAAAATCCTATCTCAGAAAGACAGAAATCCATTAGAAACTCTTTATATTCAAGAAATACTACATATGCTTTACTACAGAAGCTATTCAATCAGCAAATGCAGTAATTTATATTCTTTAAATTAATGCTATACTAAAATCAATTTTTCATAAGATACAATTTTCTTTAAAAACTAGAGAAACTGAACCTTATTTGAAAGCTGTTATAAATTTATTACTGCTATCGTCAAAATAGTCTCTCTTCTTTAAAATGTTAAAACACAGATCCGAGCAAAAAGAGTATTTTAGATATGAATAATAAATGGATTGCGGAGGAAAAAAGTAAGTACTTTAAAAGCGCTTTGAGAGAGGGAACATTTAAGCATCTGAGATAAGTCTGAAATATATAGCCAGTCTACAAGGCATTATTATAACTTAATACTTTTTTATTGCTTGGAGAATTTTTCATTATAAAAAGGAATCCCAATTTTCTTACTCGCTAATTTTGATTGCAGTAACTAAATTCGGAAAGCAAGGCTTTTCATTCAGAAAATATTTCACTTTGTTTTACTAACAGCCAATTCATCAAGACATAAAAATGAAAACTGAAGTATAAGATATGTAGATAAGCATAAGATATATACCCAGTCTACAAGGTATTATTTTAAGTTAATATTTTTAATTGCTTGATCAATTTTTCATTTTAAAGACTCATTCCAACTTTCGTACGTACTACTTTTGCTTCTAGCACCTAATTTCAGGCACCAAATTAAAATAGAGAATTTTCTTCACTACTAAAGCCCAGAAAATACTTTCTCTATTTTAATAGTGATCAAGTTATTAACAAAGAAAAATGAAAATCAAAGTATTTTCTCAGATAAATAAAAAAAATATTCAGTGGTTTAATTCTCACATTTCTTATTTTTCTTAGAGAAATTCGGTAGGATATCAGCAGAGAATTCTGTTTCGCTTCATTAAGTATTATTTTATCGAAAGAAAAAACAGAATTAAGATTAGTAACAAAAACTATACATCAAGAAAAAAGTGGTTTCATACTAATAATATGACCAGAAAACAAATAAATTTAATTTCTGCTACTAACGTATTTTCTTCATTATATGTAAATTCCTGAAATAAATGCATTATGCATCCTTATTTCAAAGAAATGATTTTAATTTTCTTCCTTTTCGTAAAACATATGTTGAAATTATACGTAGAAAGCCTTGCCATGCATATAAATACTGTAAGGTAATATATAGCGCGAGAATTCAGCGTAGGTAGCGATTAATTAATTAAACTGTATTTCTTAGATAAAACTCTCGAAGAAATTAATATATATATGCAATATTTTGGCAGTCGAGCACATGAATGAAGCTTGGCAGAAATGATGACACAGAAGTTAATTGTTTTGATTCCACATCTTTGTTCAATTGAAAGGCATATTATCACTCTTTACTAAAGAAAGTTAAATTCACTGCGTCATAATTCGAGCAAAGAGAGGCAGAAGAGCAGCAGCAGAGGAAGAAAGCGGTGTGTCTGAAGCAAAATGGTGCGAGTTCTCTATTTATAGAAGCGGTTACGTAATAGTATGGAATGTTCTAGAAAGTACTGGTTTAGGGGGAAGATCCTGAAATTGCGGAAAGTTAATTAGAGGTTGCTTGTTCGCATAGAGCAAATCGCTCCTATTTTTTATTTTTTACATATATAAATATATATATATATTATTCTCGCGTGTAATGCAAATAGTGGAACGATCACATAAAAAAGAAAAAAAAAAGACTTCTAGAGTTCTATTTTTGCTGTTGCTATAAAAGCGCACTTCTTTGTATCTCTTAAAATCAATTTCAGAAGTTTTAGTTTTGAAGCACACACAGCTTCAAATAATGCGTAATCTGATAAAATTATTAATAGTGCATAACAAATTATTAACAGTCCAATTATTGCTGCCTCTTCTTGCTATGCAGGTTTGATTCATTTAATGGCAAAAGCGACAGATCCTTTATTTCAGCTACGCCAGACGAAGAAATTTCTGGGCTTAAGCTAGGACTGTTATGTGTTGCTGTTGTTGTTACGCATACTGACTAGTTAGCCGTTAGGAGAGACCAGATCCATGAGTCCAAGAACCATCACTATGTTTAATACGAAAGTAGGTCTTTTCAACAGATCCTCTTTTACAAGTCCTAAACAGGTGAGAAGGTGTCCAGGAGTGAAATGATCAGGAGTATATTTGCTTCAGATTGGGTAGATCTTATTTCCCGGGTCAGATTTAAGACATTTCAGTTGTCCACTTAGGGGCCTCGCCAAAGTATTCTGCTGAGCACGATCACCACCAAAAGCCATAGCCCCTCCCGGCTGCCTGGCAAAGTACCAGTCAGTGAGCCGGAGGAAAATGCCAGGAAGAGGCAATGGTAGATTCAACTGTGGAGTAGATTTCCAAAAAGGTCAGGGTGCAGAGCACAAACAAAACAGTCTATGGTCCATGAACCATGGACTGTTATGTCTGGACTCTAAATGGAAAACAGGACTGATATGAGGTCAAGGTTTCCTTGTCGCATGTGGAGCAAATCTCCAAAAATGTCAGGGTGCAGAGCCCAAACAAAACATGCTATGGTCCATGAACCATGGACTGTTATGTCTGGACTCTAAATGGAAAACAGGACTGATATGAGGTCAAGGTTTCGTTGTCGCATGTGGAGCAGATCTCCAGAAAGGTCAGGGTGCAGAGCCCAAAGAAAACAGTCTATGGTCCATACGTCTGGGCTCTAAATGCAAAACAGGATTGATACGAAGTCAAGGTTTCGTTGTAGCATGTGGAGCAGATCTCCAAAAAGGTCAGGGTGCAGAGCCAAACAAAACATTCAATGGTCCATACGTCTGGGCTCTAAATGCAAAACAGGATTGATATGAAGTCAAGGTTTCGTTGTAGCATGTGGAGCATATTTCCGAAAAGATCAGGGTGCAGAGCCCAAACAAAACAGTCTATGGTCCATGAACTATGGACTGTTATGTCTGGGCCCTAAATGCAAAACAGGACTGATATGAGGTCAAGGTTTCGTTATCGCATGTGTATCGCATGTGAAAGTTGCTGTCCTTTAGTCTATCTAGCGTTTTGAACTTTGACGAATATTTCTGTGATTCTCCGCTAATGAACGCCTTGTGAATTTATGACTTACGTATATGTTACTTATCATCCATTTAAAATAAAATGGATACACAAATAATAACCCAAAATTTAATGTGGAAATGGATACACAAATATTAATCTAAAATTTAATGTGGAAAAAAAAAAAACGTTTTGAAAAGTGAAAGCCATGTTGGAACCATTTAAACTGCAAACCTTTTATTATTTAAAAAAAATATTTTGTTTAATTTTAATTTATAAATAATCCTTATTTATTAACTACTTTAAATTATACCATTGTAATTTGGAAGTTTTTAATTATAACACAATAATATCTTTCTCCAATATATTTTCTTATCTTTAAAATGTTTCCTTAGGTAGATAATATTTTTACAACTGTACTAAAATTAAACAGTTCCACTACCCTAATAGAAAATGTAAAAAAAGAAGTTGTTTTAAAATTTTAGTGAAAATCAATATTTTTCAACATTTAAAAGCACTTATTCTTTAAGTCATAAACTTATAACATTGCATCCGTCTAATTAGTCTGTTGAGCAGGTCTTTTAAAAGTGCATTTTCAGATGTAAACCATTAAATCTACCTTCCGGGTAAATAATGAAAATATGGCTTCAGAATTAACTTGACTGAAGAATTGGCTTGTATAAATGCTTGACTTGTAAACTTAAATTAATTGATTTTACATTTTCAAATTATTAATTGCATTTCTTATTGCCAATTTAAATTTCCATATATTTTTAAACGCACTTAACTGTACTAATTAGCAATTGCATACTTACCATTGACTATGAAATGCTGCCGATTATTTATATTTGCAGGAATAATATCTGGCCCCTTTTCTTCACTGTCAGCTATGTCATCTGTGTCTTTCTTTAACGGAGTTTGACACCTGTGAATAAAATAAAATCACGAGGAGAAATGTTTACTAATTAAACAGAATAATTTAATAAATAAATTAACAGTTCATAGCACCTAAATTATGCAAAACGATTGATTTTTTTTACCCATAAATCGCAACATTATTTACAGTCATTGTTATTATTCTTCCAAATGACTCATTAAAACTAATAATTTACTTGATAATCACTGGTAGTGTATGTATATATAAACTACAAAGTTGGCTGTTTATTATTATCGCCTGCATGTTTTATTTCATCTTGCATGCGGCACGACGGATAACAAATATATATTTTTATTGTATATTTCGTATGAAAAAATCTTCAAGAATGTTTCAACATACTTGATTATTATAATTTGAAATGAATTTAAATAAATTACATTAGTCGCAAAAAAAGCGGAACTAAAAAATAAAGAAAATTTGGTATGCACACTATAACCTTTCTTTAAGAAGAAGCTCGAAAATTCTTATTCTAAATTTTGTATATTTAACTACGTTTTCTATATATAAACTAAAAAGGATACAGCTTTCATTGATACTTTTAAAATCATGTCGAGCGGAAAAAAACTTCCATCTCCATACAGCCACTTTTTTTGTGATGGAGGACTTATTGTGTTACCCTTTTGCAGACCATGCTTACTATTCCGTTCTTCCAAAGGTCCTCCTCTTCATCTCAAGATGAGGTTGACAATCGAAGACTTCCTCAGCATATATTGGATCAGCTTGGCCCCAGTGCCGTTGCTGTCCCTTGCAGAAACGTAATAAAAATTGAAAAACTTTTTTTTCTTTTTTTTTTGATCTGCGTCCCATGCATTAAAGCCTCTTGATGACCATGAAGGTTGAGCTCCCGGCACTGATGTCGTGAAGGACGTAGTGAGTTTTGAACTGCTACCGAAAGCACAGAATAAATCTTTAACTTGTATATCATTGATTCCACGCTGTGTTCTTTCCATAAGATTTTCAATAATCCATGGTAGTATACTATAATTTTCATACACCTGGTTATCGTTTATTGACAGATTCAGACAACGTAACGAGTTACATACTAATAAATCTAGACCAGGGCATATGTTGTAGAGATATTAGGTTATTTCAAAGCAGGAGGCATGAAAAATGATCAATGCCCTCTCAGGGACTCGAATACAAGTCAAGTTTGCTGACCGTTACACCACGAAGGCATGCTAAGAAGCCGGGATAAATACCTTATGTACTCCCTCTTTTAAACGGCGGCTGGGGATTTGGAGACCAAGTCACTAAATCCATGTGGTGAAGAATCATCATCCCCCACCTTTTTTTAGTTCGGATGCCACTGTAGAGACATTAGGTATTTTTGATACGAGAGACGTGAAAATGAGCAATGCCTTCACCGGGACTCCAACATCGGACTTCTAGAATACGCACCGAGTGTGATGACCATTACACATCGAAGGCATGTTGAAAAGGCGGGAAAAATACCTTATAAGATCATAAACTGATTGAGCACAGGGTTTCGAAGACTACTATCGCTTTTATTAAGTACGATTCAATGTTGGATCAGTAAGACATTCATGAAGCTTGGACAAAATGAGCTTGGACAAAACATTACACCCGTTAAAATCATGTTTTCTAAATCTATCATTCGTTCTTCATTTCACAATTAGGCAATGGTATACATGTACAATATTACCAGATTCATTTCCGCACCTTGTACGTATCGAAACGATAGGAAATATATTTATTCCTAGCAGTATGTTGCAGCTAAAAAGGTGATAGAGTTGAGTTGCTGACAACGTTTTTGTTAAAAATGAAAACCTGAACCATTTAATGTTGGTTTTTCTTACGTTCAAGTTTATTTTTATTTAGAGCCGTTAAATAATTAAGAAGAGTTATTTTAGACTTATTTCAATCCAGCGTAGAGTCATTCTTGTGACAGGATGTATGACAAAAATAAATATTTCCTTCTGGAAATGACTCCAGACAAAATTTACTTTTCTAGGAAAGAATAAAGAATTGCAGTAATGTCATTTTAGCAAAAAATCTGCAAACTGGAAAATGCCTCTGAGATAAAAAACGTGAAGTTGTCACTATCAGCGATCGTTAAGTGGATGATGATCTTAATCCTCAAGATATTAAGGCATTGAGACACTTTCTTTCTTTCCTTTTTTTATTTTCTGAGCTTATCTTGAGCTAACAGAATGTAGCTAATTTCCTTTTTAAATATTTATGCTATTCCCGTCATTTAATTAAAAACGTTTCACGAAATAGTTGAATATAAGAAGTTAATTCTCAAACTCTGGGAAAGAAAAGACATAAAAGAACTGCCTGATATTTCCATTTAGTTTAAACTTTTGCTGTATGTAATACATAGTATATATATATATATATAACTATATATAACTATATATATATATATATATATATATATTATATAATGTATCATATATATATATATATATATACATACATTTTTATATATGAGAAATATCCTTCTATATTTTTCAGGGAAAAAAGAAAGTTAAATAATATTTAGTTTTTAGATAATATTACTAGTTTATTTTAGTTAACTATCATTAGATTTTATTCCTTTTTCCCCATCGTTGAGCTCTTAAACGCGGAAAACAATTTGATAATAAATGTAACTAATGTAAATATTGGAAAAGAGAAATAAAACACTGTTTTTTTTTAATATCTTTTAGAAAATATTTTGCTGCTACTAATATCTTTTGTCACTGTAAAAAAACTGTTATGTAACGATATAGTCATTTAAAATGTTTAACGGGGAAAATGAATAATTATTACTTACTTGTCAGCCACTTCGGGTGTTCTTTTTGTAACTGAAATAAATAAGTAATTTTCAGCAGTGTCATTACACTCAGTTATTTCATTATTACATAAAATTTGAATACCTACACGATTTTAAGTAAATCAATAATTTTCTAAATCTTGCATTTCATACAAATAATTATAGAAAACCATTCGTTAACAGCAGAACGGAATAAATCTAATTTGGAGTCAATCTCAGAATTGTATTTAATTTTTATATGCTTTGGTCAAATGAATAGGTAAAAGACATATAAATGCTGCCATATGTATACGGAAAAACCAGTTATTTTCAAATGACAATTTACCTTCAGGGGATTTACTGAACAGAAACAGATTTGTGTTGCCACATACCGAGAAACGGTCTACGCAGTAGTACCAAAGAATTTCTAGGGACCCTACAAATTCTTTCAAAGTAGCACTGCGTGTAACCATGGCCAACTACAAGAACTTCCTGTAGTTGGCCATGGTGTAACACAAGCTTGCTTTCTGTCGAATAACAGTGTTGCCTGAGTACGGCTTTTAACTCGAAAATTCAGCAGCGTTTTCCTTTAGCAAATGGTTAAATCTTCATGCATGTGCAGTAGACATTTTTTTCATATTAAAATATAATAATTTTCATCTCTTGGCAAAATGTACAGACTTCAGTTATGCATCGCCAGCTGCGCAGCAATGTTTTTGTCGAAAAGAAATTTATTGTCCTATGAAAAAAGTAAATTTTTGAATGATATTCATTGGCCAAAATATAACATTTAGGCATTAGGTAAACTATAACATTTGGGCAATTTTGGTATTTCAAATGCTAAATATGAAATTTTGAAAAGAAAATTCCACAAAGACCAAAACCGTTTACCTGCAATAAAAGCTCTAGATGACTACAATAAGGAGAATTTTCCTCATAATAAGAAATTTTTGGAAATCTTAAAATCGTTTACAGTTACCACGTGTATTGCGAAAATTGCGTCTTCTAAGGTGAAATCTCTAAAAATTATTTACAAAATAGTACATGTAAAATCCGTTTAAATAGATTATATATGTTGTTGGAAAGAAGAAATTTTAACATTATTTTTTTAAAAAAAGCAGAATGAACATTAATGTATGATTAATGTTTTTGTATTCTTAATTGCTATTTCATTAAACTTCATCATTAATAAGAAAATACAAGAAATGCAACCGAAGGAATATTATGTATTATACATAATTAACCTAGCACAACTGCAGAAGCACGATTTTTAGATTGAATTCAGTTCTATAATGGGAAAGCTATACGTAAGAAAACGTACGCAGCGGTAGTTTCGACGTTATAAGGGTGACTGCAACCCACAGAATAAAATTCTAGATATGCCGCTGAGTTATCCTTAGTTAAATACTAGTGTTAGTTACAATTATTAAACACATACGTGATTCAGTTAGAGGCTAACAAGTAGTAAGTACACTATTGGCGCATGATAATTGCTTGGCTTCTCAAACTATTCCGTAACATTCGGTGAGATCAAGGTTATTGTTGGAAAAATAATGTCTATCCATATCTTCGGGAATGAAGAATTTACCTGTGTCACTACCTATCTGACCAACTCACATAGTTTTCATTTAATACTCTATAAAATTTAAGAGAAAGAGAGCAAAAATAAAAGCTATTTATATGAGGTATACTACGAAACTGAAATATTTACTAATTTTGAAAAATGGTCCATGGGTAAAAGCTGTTTATAAATCTAGCGTTGTATAACACTTAAATAAATCTATAGAAAGTCTCTAACCGGCAAGACCGTATATATACGGCCTAGACTATTTTTTGTGATATCTGCAAGGACGTATATATACGTGCATATTAAAACATGCTAAAGGAATTAAGGCAATGTAATAAAAGTACACAAATCCAGGTATAAAACACCAGGAAAATTTTTACATTAATATCAAGGAAATATTTTTTTTTCTTTTTGTAGTTCTGGGAAATCTGTGCTTTTCTAAGCGAAAGCCCTGGCCGGTCAGAGGGTTCATGATAAAAGTTATCTCTAATAAAATTTTCCTATGATGATTCAAGTTCTCTATAAGGTTTCGTTTACAACAGTAAGAATTTTACATTAATGCAATTATGAAAACTACTGGTCTAACAGAAATACATATCAGTGTAAATTAAGCACAAAAATAAGCTTTAGCTTGAAATTTAAAATGAAACATACCTTTGTCTTTTCGATGCCTCTTCATTTTCATATAAATAATGACGGCGACAGCGACAATAACTAAGGCAACAACTATTCCAATTAGAAGACCCAGAACAGGTCTGATAATAATCATGCCTTGCATTCCTAATAAAAATAGAATACATAATTAATGAAATTATGTATTGATAACTTAACCACACCTTTCACAGAAACTGAACTCATAGCATAATTCAAAATTTTAAACGAATAATTTAACTTCAGTGACAATAAAAATAAATAAGTAATTAAAAATTTAACAACGTATTTTATGCAAACTCAATTATTTAAAGTATGCGGCTATTTATATAGAGCATGTAACCGTTCTTCTAAAAACTCACACGCTGGCTAGAATAAAAGTATTTATTAACAGAGCACAGAAAGAATTACAAAGAAAATATACATCAAAACAGAACATACACTAAAACGGAACACCTAACATTTAGAATTAAAGTTCAGATAAAAATAATATTTGATAATACATCCTCATCGCAGGTGGAGAAGGAGCGGCTATAAGCTGTTCTCGTTGCCACTAGATGGCGCTCGATAAAAGTAGTTCGGTTAATCCAAATATTTCTGTTACAAGTATAATTCACTGCATGAACATAAACAACTATAACTGCCAATTTGTTTTCATTAAATACTGGCCTTTATTACGCAAAATTTAATCAATATTATCATTTACAATTTATTTACATTTAAAGGAAATATTGCATAAGAAATGTATGTGTGATATATATTCGAGTTATATAACACATTTCTTATGCAATACTATATATTCGAGTTATTTATTCCTCAGTAACAAATGTTAATAATATCGTTCTTTGACGAAAAGAATATCAAAATTCAGTTCGTTTTGAAACAAATATTATTTACCTATAACACGTCAAATTTCAATACACCTATAAATTCAGAAAGAAATCACTAAATGAACAAGTAAACTATTTTAAAGAATGTTGATATTAATTTCTTAGTTTTATACGAATTTCTAAAGCAAGGTTTTAAGATAAAATAGCTGAAACAGGAATAAATTTATTTGATGGTTCCTCACCGAAACGGAATAAATTTATCTTAATAATTTTCTTTGAGAAGTATTTATCTTATTTTATTGTTTAGATTAATACGTTCAGCTTACTGATACAGACAACAAATATGATTGCTATCGACTCAAGAGGAGGGACCCTGGAGTACTTTCAAACTGATGGGTTATGAATAGAGAAATGCACAATAACATCAATGCAACAGTTCGCTGCTAAGGTTATGAATCCGTGTCGAACTACTTATATTCAGGGGTCAGATTAAAAGAGATTCAAATCCATTGTCTTATTTAAAATACTTTATCATTAGTCATTTTTAGCATCAAAATTATCTAGAATACAAATATCTCCTGGTCTTTACGCTATGTTCCTCTATTCAGAGTCTTTATTATGACTGATGACATAAAGATTACTTTGGCATTCCTCGAGTAATATATTTTTTAGGTGCTGAAACACATTTTGCCAAATAACTCCAACATAAATATGAAACACTGCAAATAATTTAACAAATATTTTAACAAATGAGCATGGTAAAATATTTGCTACTCTTAATGACAGTAGATGGTGATAACCAACAGATAATTACCCCAAGTGTTTACTTTTAAACTGCTTTTAAATCCGCCAGTATTTTCAACTAACTATGAACGTCTAGAATTTGATATCTGAATAAATCAACATTCTATAATTCCTTGAATCTCGGTGTAATTTATTTGTGGCACGTAGATGCAGATTTAGTTGGCTTTAATGATTGGGTCATAAATCAACTCGTTGAATCAAAGCCATTCGCATTCAGATCTAACGAAATTATTCTACAGCAGTTCCTCTCACAAACATAAAACAATCTTCAACAGATAGTTAATACCATGTTTGGTGATGTTTAATCGCTGAGTTGTATTCAATAGCATTACCTTTGGATTAAGGCAAGTATGTTATTACTCCTGGTAATGCTTTCTGACTTGCAGATTCGTCACCAAGATATCGGCACGACTACGAAAACTCAGTCTTTCAACAATTTTATGTTAAGTTACTCAACTGTGCAAAATTTAGATCAGCTATCTGAGACATAAAATATGGCTTCATCTTATTTAGTGAATACGAGACAGAGTTTGATACGGTGCGTATAGGAAATGTGTAGATAATGCTTCATGTTAAGGAATTTAATCCTTGATAATTTTATTTTAATCTTAACATAACACTAATTTACAGGTACATTTAAAGTATGTCTTTGAGTAATTATCGTATTACAGTGAGCATTTTGGTGATATAATTAGTTAAACGTCCAGCTAGCAGCTAGAAAATTCACGGTTGGTTGAAGGTGACAAGGGTGACAGAAAAGACCAAACGGCTTTGGCTGAGTTGACTTCAGGACATTTAAGGACCGTCAGCTATTGCCGTGATGCTAAAACATTTCCAACTTGCGCCAAATGTAAAAACCATGAAGATATCGTACAACATCTTCTTAGTTATGTTGTCATGGACCCTGAAAATCTGCTGAAGAGATTTAATGTCGTATTGGAGGTTATGAAGGCGAATGAACTTATGGATCTGATCTGATTCAGACTTATGGATCTGATCTGATTCAGACTTATGGATCTGATCTGATTCAGACTTATGGATCTGATCTGTTTCAGACTTATGTATCTGTTCTGATCTGATCTGATTCAGATCAGATGTAATAGAAAGAAGAAGACGGGTTGGATGGAATATCCAGACAAGAATATAAATAATTTCTCTTATTTAACCCATTGGAAAAAAAAAAAAAAAAAAAAAAACTAATGGCCTCTACAAAGTCAATCGAACTAATATAATTTTATCACATTCCCCGTGAACATTTTTGCGGCATATGTATTAGGACATCCACCTAGCAATTACAATAGCTTATGATAGAAAATAAATGCAGTGAAACTAATATTTTCTATACATTGCCATGATTCAAATCCTGAAAAAGGGTATACTTGATTTTTCATAATTTCCGGCTCCTAAAAACTTAACCCTTTGCCACTCGGGCCTTTTTCGCGCTGCGCACCAGCAATTCGAGACGTTTCGTAGGCTTTTTGACGCATTTCTTGCCAGTAACGTAAAATCATTACACACAAATTAATGTATAACATTTTTATATTTTAGCATTTTATATATCTTTACACCTTAATGATTTATATAAAGTATGTACAAAAGTAGGAGATAATGTCTACTTTATTACAAATTGTAAGTTAACCAGATGCATTGATGGAGCGAACATAGATTTTATGAAAAATGGTTTACTTAAGGCAAGAGGAATAGTACATAAGATTATGAAGACTATTCATAACAATAAAGAAGCCATTGGCATTGTGTGATTCGTGTGTCTGTATAGTTGTGCGGTGATTTTTATACTGGCGTAGCCCGTATAGGGTCATAGGGCAAGCTTTGATTTGCAAGGTGGACCGCGCTGCGCCCTCAGCTCATATATTTACACCTTTGTAAACATAACATCTTAAATATTAGTCTCTGTAATTTTTCTGTGTATGATAGTTCATTCAACAATTTCCAAAATGCATGCCTAACTTGAGGAGACAAGTATTATAATAATATGTCGTTTGATGCTTTTTTAGGGGTCATTTCTATGAGAACCGACTTTGTGATATATGAGAAAAGATAAGACTGATAAGAAAATCTTATCTCCATTTAAAGAGGTATCATTTTATACTTCATAAGATTATACAAAAGCAGCGTAGGAACACCCTTCGATTAACATTTTTAAAAGCGCATAAATCATGCTAGAATACCGTCAACCTTTAAAACGGAAGGTTTTCTTTACTGAATATATTATGAGCATTTGTTACTATTCTAGTCTATGAATTTTAAACGCGTACTGTTTATAAAGAGCTTATCAAAGTTTAGAAATGTTTCACGCAAAACTAGTAAATTCAAAATTTGGCAGGAGTGTTATAATAACAATTAGCATTAAAATTCTTGTAGCTTTCTAATTTATTTTATTATATGGATATAGTTTAAATATTTAACCATATGCAAACATAAAATAATATTAACAAAATTAATAATAACTAATATTGTTGTTATTAAGATATAACAATAATAACATTAACCTATTTTTAGCCCAAAGGGCGTTAGAACAGAAGGGGTTTAATTTCGTTTTGACACTTTGCGTTGGTTCACTATAAATATAGGTTCACTTTTAAAATTGTTGCCACCAAATATTAGAGCCCTGTGTTATATTTAAAATAATAAAGAGTCTGCATAAATGTATGTATGTTTCTCGCATTGTGATAAACAACGGCACCTAGAGCCACCAAATTTTGAATCATGTATTCTTCCACTGAATATGGGCATCTGGAAGCCTGAATTTGGAATTTGTTTTATTATCGATTTCATATTTTGTAACACATTAACGAATTTTTAATTAACAAACTCAACGATTTCAAAGCAAGTAATGGCAATACTGTATGAAAAAAAATTATCTCCAGCGCGAGGCTGTGTATTTGAAATTCTAAAGATATGCTCGTGCGATATTGCTGTTGAATTGAATTTTATGGTTTAAGTACGAAGAACATGATATTTAATAAGTAAAGGTAGCACACAAAACGTTAGTAAAACGCACCTTTGGGCGTAATGTAAAATCTGAAAGATTTAGATTTTTTTTTTTTTTTTTTTTTTAGTTTGATTTTTGAATGTAAATACTAGTATTTTTGTTCATATAATGAAAGTAACGTTTAAATAACAGATTAAAACTAACCCGATTTGCTATGTAAACGGATAATATAAAAATAGATTTCATTATAATCGTCTTAGAAAACCTTAAATCTAAAATTTAGTGATTTCATATGTACCCATTTTAGAAAACATAACTGCAATTTTTTATCAAACTTAATTTTGGATGTATCACGATTTTTGACATTTAAAATATTATGTAAAATATTTACAATTTCATTAGATATTTTCAATACAAATTTAACTAAAATTCGAATTAATTTTACAAACTTGTTAAATTAACTCAAATATCTTTAGAGAAGATTAAATTTCATTTAAATTTTCCTGGACAGTGATCATATTAAACATAAAGTGGGACTTTAA